TTAGTTCTTCATGAAACTTACTTAAAATCGACGAAATTAAACATAAAAAAATCTACCATACTTTAGATGTATGGAGACTATTAGATTTATGGGATTTTTAGGTGTTTGTTAAAAAAATTTGAACGGTGAAGAACATTATTTCGAGGAGACGAACAACATACCTCAAAATTAACTTCATCGGTCGATCATTGAAAGGTATTGAAGTATTAATACGTTGAAATGGATTTTCTTCAATTTTGAGTGGGAAGAAAGAGGAGTGAAATACGAACGTTTTGGTGATGATCTTGTTGTGACATATGACCGATGAATGGCAGTGCTTGGCTGCCGGCGACGGTCGAAAAGTGTAGTGGTAAAAAAGAAAATTATTTAAAAGTTCAGTGGCAAAATTGATACACCTTAAAAGTTTAATGTCTAATACGATATCGTTTTAAGCGTCCGAATAACCGTACCAAAACGACGTCGTTTTGGTGTGGCATCAACAACCGTTAGCCATGTCATCGTCTAGTTAGTGACTTAACGACGAAGTAAAAAATTGAATGTAAAACTAAAGTTCATAATTATAATTTGTGAAATTAAAAAATCAGTGGTATAAACGAATCAACGGACAAAGTTTAATGGCATCTGACATAGTTTACCCTTTTAAATATTATTAGTTAATTAAAAAAATCTATTTTAATTCATATCAATGAGATGTAAATACGAAGAGATACAGTACAATGACTTGTAATAGGTTTTAACTCTTTCGAAAATATTATCGGTACAATAATAATTATACGATTGCCATTCAGGACACAATAAAACCACAATGCAATCTTTATAAAAAATATATTTAATATCGCCTTATCTTGCTAAATAAGAAAATGTGATAATAAAATCATCAGGTAGACTCTTGACAAAATATATTTAATATATTTTATTTATTTGATTATATTGAGCAATTTTAGTGACAAAAGAAAGTCTTATTTTTTTACAGGTCTTATGTTTCAACAACTGCATTTGGATGATGTGTATGCGGTATCAATGACTAAAAAAATATATAATATATATTATTTTATAATCACCCAATATAATTTTAAAAGAAAAATATTTCATTTACTTTAACATGTTTGGTGTCTTAGGTGATATACAAGGATGAACTATGAAAAGAGTGACAGGTCGTTATTTGCTTAAATTATCATATATTTTTATTAATAATTTATTTTTATTTTCTTAAATTTTATAAATCCATTTTTTTTATAAATTTGATCTTTAATGTAATATCCTGCATTTATATTGATAATATGAGTTTTGATTTGCAATAAGTGTTGATTTTAGCACAGCGATGTGAGTTGTGATAAGCAATAAAAAAATAACAAAAATAATTCAGTTCGTAATTGATTTGATTGAATCAATTCGAGTTTTCGTTTTTTCTTATTTTCTTCTAAGCGTGATAAATAAAACATAGAGAAATCTATTTGAATTTTGATTAAAATATGTTATAATAATTGATGTTTGATTTATTAATTAATTATTTAATGTATTACATAAATTTTATTATAAAATGATATTATCAATTCAATTTTTTTACTCATAATGACAATTTCAAATTTGAGATATTAACAGTACATTAAATCAATAAATTGAGAATAAAAGTTTATTTATCTTTTATATTTTATCAATTAATATATGAACGATATAAGAGATTCCCAACCAAATTGAAACTTTAACTTAAAATAATTTTTTTATAATTAAACCATAATCTGGCTTGATTTAATCGGATTATCAGATCATATTTAATTAAATTTAAACTTGAACTTAAGAATTTTATCGAAATTCAGCTACAATTCGATGTGATCATTGCACTCTTAATAATGACATGATTATAGAACTATGGTTGGAGTTGGGATTTAGGAACATGGTCCTTGCAAGTAAGTTGAGTTATGAATTCAATTATGTTGTTGTCTGAGCTTCCACCTCCATTAACTGCCTCTATTGCCAGTTTCTTCCACTTGGACGCGTTCCTTTTGATATCTTCACTTCGATCTCCTTCCATAACTTCCCTTATACACCTCTCTATCTCTTCTTTGCGGATGATTCCTTTTGCATCCACCTCGGCTCTGATTCCCACGTGCCAGACATCGGCAATGAATTTAACATTCGTGGTTTGATCTATCCACTGAGGCACTTTAACCATTGGAACCCCTGAGCTCAATCCTTCCTGCGTCGAGTTCCAACCGCAATGACTCACGAAACGACCCACCGTCTCGTGAGCCAACACTTGTACTCGAGGACTCCATGAAACAACAAGCCCTTTCTCTGAAGTTTCTTCTATGAAATTGGGCGGAATCTTTTTCCGTTCGGTTTCTCTGACGACCCATAAGAAATTTTTGTCGCTTCTCTTTAAACCCATTGCTAACTCCTCCATTCGATCCTCTACTAGGGATGCCAAGCTTCCAAATGATACGTAAACCACCGAATCGGTTTGCTTAGAGTTCAACCATTTCACACAAATGTCGATCTCAGGATTGAACAAGTGAATAACATAATCATTATCTTCTTCTACCTTTGTCTAAGTACTTACAAGGAATCGTGGGTCCAATTGTCTTGATTGGCCTCTGGCTTCTCATCCACTTTACAACCTGATTTACAATTTCATTTACCTATTTTAGATATATTTCACATCGTATTTCACAGTCTCAAACAACACTAGATAAGGTCATTGCACAGGAGTTCCTCTCGGATACATCAGGGCATGAAAAATAGGCAGAAGTTTACGGTGGTCTGTCGACTCATCAGTTACAAACTGTCGGTACAAGAAAATCGTAAGGTTAGAATATTTAGAAGTAGATTACATTTTTATAATTCTCCATGTAAGCTCCTTCGTCATGTGAAACGCCCACATCCAACTCTAACAAATTCAGTTGTCCTTCTAACTATTGGGCCCTTCATGACAAACAGATACATAATGAAGTCGAGGATAATCACTAGCAAACCATAAAGTAACATTATAATTTAACACTGCCCATTTTGCTAGTTCATGAGCTGCTCGGTTAGCTTCTCTTGGAGCGTAGTCCACGGTGAGAAGCGGGGAGTCGGCCAGTACTGTTCGAGCAGTTGAGAGGTGAATTCCCAGAACGGAAAGATCAGCCTCTTTGGAGCGAAGTCTGTTGATTACAGCAAGAGATTCACCCTCTATGGTCACCTTAGTCCAGTCGTTCTCCTTAGCCATTTCAATTCCTACTCGAAAAGCTTCAGCCTCAGTCAGTTCAGCTGTGAGTGTTCCGCTAAGTTTCCGAGCATGCCCTCCCACCACCACGCCGTTGTGATCCCGAGCGATGACACCAATTGCCGCTTGTCCAGTATTAGCGATAAAAGCGCCATCAACATTAATTTTGAAGCAATCAAAATCTGATTTTCTCCAAAGCTTGACTGTAGTTCTCTGTGTGGAGGAGGCGGTTCTGTTCCATGAGCTCGCAGCAGAATTGAAATTAGCACTCAGGAGCCAGGCAGCTTCCACCACCGCTATCGCCGGTTGGAAAACATCTGAGTGCACTTTTTTGTTTCTTCGGTTCCATATATTCCACAGCAGTAGCATCAGTTTGGAGAAGCATTCTTCAGTCATATTTGAAGCCTCCGCCTCGATCCAAGCCTTGCAAGAGAGAAACTCGCCTGAATAGCAGCGTTGGTCCAAACCTGACTGTTGCAAAACCTCCCTCGTTTTCGTGCAGTCTTTAAAAGCATGAAGCAACGTTTCTTGTTGTTATACATTGAAGTATTGAGTTTGAGCACTACATGTGTCAGGGATATGAATATTCATTATCAAAGATTTAAAGTCTTTTGTTCCATTTTAGACATTTGTCTTTAAACATTAACAGTAATATTGACATATCATAATAATATAATATCATATCATCATTAAAAATATTAAAAAATATATTATATCAATAATTCTGTTTATTTTTCAAAGATATAAGACTAAAACATAATAAAAATATAATGATAGCATTTTTTTTTTTACACTATGAAGGTTAAACTACATCCTACGCACTAGAGTCTCAACATGTCTTCTCCTTTGGCATCAGCAAGCAGCAGGTGGGTTTTATTCCTCCGAAGGATCCTTTAGAATTTTCACATCATTGGCTTGTTCTATTACCATCTTCATCAGATGATCTGCATATTTGTTACATTCACGCCAAATTTATCTAACCTCGCTTATCCTTCTTTACGTAATTCTTTGCAATCTTTTATTAGAACATTTTCCGGACGTTTCTCCATCAGGTTGCAGAAAATTACAATTTCTAAAGCGTTTGATTGTTGATTTCACTTCTTGTTCCTCCTCTCTTAGTTCAAGTGACATTTTCTTCACAATCTATGGACATTACAATATATATATATATATATATATATATATATATATAAACTAATTCAACCTTAATTCCTTTCTCATAATCAATTAAATATTTAAATATTAAAAATTAATCAAATGTGAACCTTTTATCTACAAAAATCTGAATATAACACAGATATCATAAAGTTTATATGAAAACATAGGATTTGAAGAAGGGGTTTACTTTGATTTGCTCCTCTATACCACTTTTGACACTAAAGGGGTTGAAAATGTAGGGTTTTTCTGCAGAATGAGCCAAAGCTTTCTGCTTCCTAACAGAAATTCCTAATCTGCCATAGCCATCATTAAAATTAAGAAGAATTAGGAGAAAAAATTAAGAAGTAATAATTATTATTATTATTATCTTACAAATGCTTCTACAGGTGAGTTGCTTAGACCAAGATCATTGGCTCTGTGCTGCCTTCTACCCATCTCTTTTATCAGCTTCCTTTCTATACCTAAATTATTACTTCCATGTGAAATCCAGCTTTGAAAGCCCTGCAGACATCTCTCAACTATTTAGAGATTAATTCATCAACCTTAAAAGCAAGAGAAGTGTTTTTTCCATCATTAAAATTAAGAAGAATTAGGAGAAAAAATTAAGAAGTAATAATTATTATTATTATTATCTTACAAATGCTTCTACAGGTGAGTTGCTTAGACCAAGATCATTGGCTCTGTGCTGCCTTCTACCCATCTCTTTTATCAGCTTCCTTTCTATACCTAAATTATTACTTCCATGTGAAATCCAGCTTTGAAAGCCCTGCAGACATCTCTCAACTATTTAGAGATTAATTCATCAACCTTAAAAGCAAGAGAAGTGTTTTTTCCATCATTAAAATTAAGAAGAATTAGGAGAAAAAATTAAGAAGTTTTAAGGATGCACAAATAATCAAAAGTTTTAAGGATATCCGAGAATAATTACCGTTATTCCCTCGAATAAAAGCATCGCCGTATTTGTTTTTCAGCTGTCCATTGACATATTCTTCCGTTTGCTCCATGGCTATGTTCATATACCCGTCCAGGCAAGCTAGAATGCCTGCAAATGAGGAAGGAATATTAAGGGTGTGAAAATCCAAGACAAAGGAAATTTAGTGAATCTAAAACAGAATAACTATCTGCTATATTTTGCTTTTATTTTTTCATTTTTTTCTTGAAACACTCATGTTAGACGCATATCAAAACTCGTGCATGGGGATATGACCCTTTGGACATCTCCCAAACCCACATTGAACACATACCCAAGTTGGATACACTCAAGTCTGAGTAACATAGACCACCAGCATGAGAAAAAGTGTAAAACCATGATGTTTATATGAATGTAACCGGTACTCGTTTCCCTTTCCGAGAGTTTGAGCTAAGGTCTACACATGCAAGAAAGAGAGAATGCATGATCGAAACTCGGGCATGGGACATGACCATTGGAAGATCTCTCAATTAAACTTAAGAACTTATAGAAGATATTGAGCAAACTGACATCGGACACATACCCATATCCGACACACTAAAGTCAGAGTAGCATAGGCCATCTACACGAGAAAAAGTGTACAATAAAACCATGATGTTTATACGAAAGTATCGGTTATCGTTTCCCTTTCCTAGAGCTTGAGCTAAGCTCTACACATACATGCATAAAAGAGAGAACTTCCTGGAATAAACAAAGCCAAACAAGATGTCAATGCAAATCTATCTCCAGCAACAAACACTTTCGAAGATATTCCATCTTTAACTTAATCCAGCACATTAACAACAATAATCGAACATAAAAATCCAAAAGAAAATGGACAAACAAATCTAATATAAAAAAGGAACAGAAACATAAACAGATGAAACAATCACAAAGCGAAAGAGCATATGCTCAGAGAGCAACCTCTATAATCAACGCCGGAATTCAGTTTCACGACAACCGGCCGACCACGAATCGACTTAAGGAAATCAGCAGGTGTTTTTGCAGTCGTTGACCCTTTCTCTCCTGTTGTACTCATCTTCCTCACTGGAATTAAAGAAAGCGATTAGTAGAATATAACCCTAGAAACAAGAAGAAAGTTGTATTCAATTAAACCAATCGTGCTCATGAATCCTGTGTAAAGAGCATACCTTCTGCAGTGATTTGATCAGTTCGATAGAAATTCGTTGCAAGGGAAATTGGTGTGGAGTATAAATTTGCTTTCCAATTTGGAGGATCTGGAGTAGACGAGTAGTTACGAGAGCGGGTCGTTTAAATTACGAACCCTAGCTATTCATTAAATTACATTTACAACCTTCAACTTTTTCATCTTTTCAATTATCGCCTTACAGATTTTTGGGATTTGAGAATATATATCCTCCAAGTGTCATGAGCGGATCGGTTTTTTCTAATAATCTAAGTGATTGTAAAATAATATATATTAAGAAATTTTTAATTAATTGATAATATATACACATTCTACACACGTAATTACTCGAATCAAAATCTTTAATAAAAATAATATCCTATTTTACCATTAACATTATTTGCTAATTTCATGAAGAGAACGATTTTTATTATTTCATTGTCGTACTTTATGGGATCTCCAAACTTGGTTAACTTTTGAACTTAAAGGATATTATCAATCGGTCTATATAACAAGTAATAAATATATTTTAAAAAATAAAATACGAGTAAATTATAAATTCAATCATTCAACTTTCTTCTCATTCTTATTTCAATTATTAAAGTTTAATTTTTTTTAATTTACTCACCAAACTTTTAATTTGTTTCTAATTTGGTCACTCCACCGTTAAATACTTAACGACATTGTGATTGGATATGTTCTTTCAAAAAAGTGTAAATTGACCCCAAATCTTTCTTATTTTTTATGAAAAAATCTTTTGTTTCGAATTCTCCTAAATTTCTTGAAGATATAACACCTTTTAAATTCCAATGACGAGAAAGAGGAGAACAAAGAAGCGGTGTTTTTCTTGAAAAATCATCTTTTCCATTTAATATTCCCGATCAGACACCGTTCAGACTATATTTCCCGATCTAACATCCTTTGCATAAAGGTGCACCCCTGCAGCCGCTTAACACTGATTTGACGCCACGTGGGGTAAGGCGCGCCTTATGCTGACATGAGATACACGTGTGTATAGCGCGGCCCCTGGGCGCACCTTAGTCCACGTAAGGTATAGCGCGGGACAGGGGCCACGCCTTACCTGTGAATCTGTCACTCGTCAGTAAGGCGCGCCCCCTGCGACGCGCCTTAGGTTTAATTACCCACCTACCCCGACGCTTTACACCCCAATCCCTCCCTATAAATACCCCATCCTCAATCACTTTCATCACACAAAATTCTCTCAATTTCTCTCAACTTTTCTCAAATACTCTTATATTCTCTGTTTAAGGTATATTTTATTATATTTTTAATATTTTGTATTTAATTTATTTAAGTATTTAATTTATGTAATATTTTACTTATATAATTTTTTTGCAGATATATAATGGAAGGTGGTCTACTTCGCTTGGATGAAAATCATATATCTCGACACTTTGCTGATAAGATAACATTTTAACGTTTTAATTTAATTTAAATTATTAGTAATAATTAGTTATTTATTTAATGCATGACTATTAGATTAAGAATTAATTTTTGTAATTATTTATGTTGAGTTAATCGAATGACGAAATTGGCCAAGAGGGGGGGGTGAATTGGCAATAAAAATTTTGTGGAAGCTATTGCAGAAAATTGAAAGTAATTGCACAGCGATTTACAGTGGTTCGACTTTCTCAAACAAAGTCTACGTCCACTACCTTAGCTATCCACACTAAGGATTTTCCAACAAATTCACTAATTTGTTCTTTCTTTTGAGGCCAAAGAGATAACCTTACAATTCCCTCAAGAGTATACCCCAACTCTTGAGAACACTCTTTTCTCAAAGAGAAGATTACAAATTTGCAAACTTACAAGAAAACCTCACAAGGTAAGATGTTTGCACAATTCTAGAACAAAGAAAAGAACACTCAAAGATGAATACAACTGAGCACAAAAAGTGTTCTTGAAAGCAAAATGAATATTGAATGAAAATGGGCTTGAAATGCTCAAACTTGAGGTTTGATGCTTTCTCTTTGATTCTCTCTTGATTCTAGTTGCTTGATGTTTCTTGTTTTTGATCAATGGCTTCTAAGCTTGCTTAAATACACCTTGGATCACTTCTGAACGTTGGGGATAATTAGAGAAGATATTATAGCCGTTTTAGTGTGAAAACATTTAATAAAACAGCTTGGACAGTGGGGGGAATCGGTTCCCTCTCATAGGGAATCGGTTCCCTAAGTGTAAAATTCAAATATTTCGACCGTTGAACAAGGGGGAATCGGTACCCCCTTTGGGGGAATCGGTTCCCTCCGAGCATTCTGGAAATCTCGGAGCCAAACCATTCAGGGGGGAATCGGTTCCTCCTATGGGGGGGAATCGGTTCCCTCTGAGTATTCTGGAATTTTTGGCTTTGAATTGGTTCGAAATACTTTGTAAAATATTTTGAAATTGTTTTATGATTAAAACTTAATTTTACACTTAAGTAAGGATCAAAAATGATTTTTGAAATATTTGGAGTAATGTTTTGATATTCGAATAGTTATATCGAATATACTTAGAAAATCATTTGGAAAATCTTAAAATTCATTTAACTTAATTTGTTATATCGAAATATTAAAATGTTTCAACAATCTCCCCATTTTTGATATAACAAAACATTTTAAGATTTTTGAAATCAAGTTTTGAAATTCAAGTTTTGAAATTACTCCCCCTTACTTTAACACTTCTTCAATTTATCATGTAAAACTTTAAACACTTATTCTTATGTAAAACTTTAAACACTTATTCTTCTCCCCCTTTTTGTTAAATCAAAAAGACATTGTAAAACAAGGTTTTGAAAATCATTTAGCCAATTGATTTATTAATTATAAGCTTAAGCTGCTAAGATCACAATCAAAAGAGAGGTTAGCCATTAGTTTCATAAATCAATATTCATAAATAATGTGATATGGCAAAATTGGTCATATTGCTAATGATAATGTACATAATGCAGAAATGTATAAAACACACCAAACATATAAGTTCACACCATTCATATATCCAAAATCCACTAAATCAAACAAATCAAAATGTTGAAACAATATTCATTTTGTTCAAAGTTTTAAAGCTAAACATAAAATCAAGCATCCGGATCGGTAGGAGGAAAACGGGCTCGCATAGCGGCCATCTCGTGTGTGAGTTCATTTATACGAGCGTTGGTTGATTCATTGTTTGCACGCATCTCCCGAAGAATCTCTAATTGTTGAGCTCCCATTGTGGATAAATGAGACTCTATAGAGGAAAAACGCGAGTCCATGGTAGCGTATCGGAAATCGAATGTCTCCATAAAGGATTGAAAATATGGAGGCATTTGATGCGTTTGTTGTGCTTTCTCCTCGGGCTGCTCTTCGGGTAGTTCAGGTTCTTCTTCAGCTTCATCAATATCCCTCATTAATTGGTCAAACTCGGGATCTTCGTCAGCTTCGGGTGGAGCTTGTGAAGAGCTAGCTCCCGGAGTAGAAGAACGAACCCATTCACCGGTTTCTTTGTCCTTTACCCATCCCGCTCTCGTTAAGGAAAGAAGATTTATTTGTTTCTTAAGAGGAAAAACGGCATCTAGACCGACTCTAAGCCCAGCTTTGGAAAATAGATTACTCAAAAAGCAACCGTAAACTAGAGATGAACAGTGTTTCTTGTTAGGAACAAGATTTACGGTTTCAACAATTTCAGCAAAAATAATCTGAGGTAGGTTAATTTTAATACGGTTTTCGAAACAATGTAACCACCAAAGATCCAAAGCTCTAAGAGTAGAATAACGACCTCCGGATGGTCGAAACCACCAAGAAATCATTAGATGAAGAAAACGCTCATGTAGGTCTAAGACACTCGCACTATCTCTTCTTTTATAACGAGAACCTAAGATTTGTTTTTCATTCGAAATACCATCATTATCTAATCCAAAAGTATTGGATATATATGCCGGGTCAATATATAAGAATTGTCCTAGAAGGTAGGAACGAATTCCTATGGTTTCGGTTTCAGCTTGGTTTTTAACATATACGGCATTAGAGTAGAATATACGAACAAGTTGATGGTAAACGATGGGTTCAAGATCAAATAGTTTATCAAATTTCCATTCTTGTAAAATGGGAAGATATTTAAAATTGATAGCTAACATAGCTTGACGAGAAGGAATACGTTCTTCCCGGATTTTGTAAGAATCGAAATACTGATAATACCAATATCGGTGATTTCTAGACCCAGGATGATTGAAACACGAATTTTGGATAGTCAAGTTAGGATCAGTGGGATTGGGATTAGAAATTGGAATAGAATGAGGATTTGGAGGTGGATTTGGTTGACGACTGGAACGACTAGAACTAATGGGAATAGATATAATAACCTGCAATTTTAAAACAAGTGTATGCAATTCAATTAATCCCAAAACTCAAATGAGTTCTCAATATTTCAAGATTCTCTAAATCAATCCTAATGGGCAAAGTTTTTGAAAAACTTTTGAAAAATATGGTTTTGAGAAACAATATATGTATGGTTTTTCATAACAACAATATAATTTTGATCAAAACACAATAATTTGAAAAATAACAATTTTTTTTTATTATTTCGAAATTTTTTTTTTTAAAAATTTGAAAAATTCTTGTGTTTTTGATGAAATTAGTTGTAACATCTAGTTTCTAATCACTAAATAATCAATGCCCGATCATTATTTCAACCTAGAACTAATTGAAACTAATCCTATGTTCAAAAATAATGAAATAAAGAGTTTAGAAAAATTTACCTTGAAATATGAAGATTGAGGGGATTTAGATGTTGTTTGCACGATTTTAATGATTTCAACAGGTTTGGAAGATGATTTATGAAGCAAATTCCGATTAATATGGTTGATTTGAGGCAAAAATGGAGATTTGAGGGGTTTAGAGGGTGAGAACGGCGAAGAGAGAGAGGAGGAGGGTTTTTGGAGAGTTTGGGGTTATTCTGCCCGATTTTAGCAGAACCCCAGGGGGGTATCGATTCCCCTGTGGGGGGAATCGGTTCCCCTTCAAAGGGGGAATCGGTTCCCTCATGGGGGGGATCGATTCCCTCTGCACCAAAATGCTAAAATCCGAATTTTTAAGCACAAAAAGCTAAATTAATCTTTTCTAGTGATATTGGCAACTCATATATCAAACATTAATTATGTTCAAAT